TAACCCTTTAACCCCCATGAGTGACCAAGACAGAATTTCTCCTTACAATATCAACAGGGAATCAAGCAGACAAGTGAGGAGAATAAAGAAGAAAACTCAATTAAGGAACTACGGGCTGATCCAAGACCAAATTCTCCAAATTGAAATCATACGTATTTTATAGCAGACAGTAGGGAGAAATTCTAATGAGATCTTGGGAGTTAAAGGGTTAATTCTGGCTGATTGTCACGTTCATATCCTACGAACTGTTTGCACTCTTCTGTTTGGCGTTAGTATCTCTCCCAATGTTTTCTCCTAATTTTATCTCAATAATTCGCTCACCGTTTCTCTTCTTCTCTATTTGTTAAAACTTTCCTATTAGTATATTGCACTCTGTTTGTTTCCTTCTGCACTTAACTTTTTGATTAATATGTAGCGCCCTGTTCACAACACTGTTTGATTTTTGCGGTAATTCTCAAGCATTTTTATCATCTCTGTCTGATTTTTACATAATTACGTTCTCTTTTTTTATTATGTCTTCAGTATCTCGGCACTTTTTGTTCCCTCTTCTGTTAGTTTATTATTATGTCCTGCACCTGTGAACAGTCTTAATCACTCTTCGATGATCACGTGCGCGTGCAGCGGGAGAATTGAAAACAGAATCGTACTGATTTAAATCAAGGATTAATTTTGAGTTTTGACGAAGCTTTGCTAACATTCTGTCATTTTTATACATTGAGCTAATATCCAGCGTTCAGTTTTCCCATCCCAATTTATTGTAGTTCCTTATTGATTGTACACTTAATAGATCAAACGACTTAATTGCAGGTTTCATCGTCGCTGCCTTTTGATTAAGCCCTTTCTACAAAAGCACGCAAAATCTACTACTTGACTAAATAAAAAAATTAAAAATGTCTTCGCAAAGTAATACCAATGTCCATTGAACGACAACGTTTAGGAAGAAGAATCTTTGTGCAGGATCAGTAGTCACTCTGTTTCTTCTTCGCCTCGTTGTTGTCCTCCTCGAGTTCTTCTTTCCTGAAAAAACATAAATTTGTCAATATTTCAGCTTTAAAGTAAACGGAACAGAACAGAAAAATCCCTAAGGCCAGCCAACAAAAGGATCATTGTCTTAAAAAATTTAAACCATAACAATAGGCAAAGTTTGATCTGTCTTCTTCATGCCATTGGCTATGATTACCCAAACTTGTCGAACATACCATGCTTGATATGAAAGTGACTTTAAGATTGTCAGTTTATTGTAATTTTTGTTGATTTTTTACAGGTAAAGTTGAATTTTTCAGCTTCTCAAGTTACCTTCATCGTCATGGCCTCTAGTATCGCATCGACCATGAGTAATTATTTCTGAGCATATTGCAAACAAATGAAACGCTCATTTAACGCAAATTTTGGAGAGCCTTCAGTGAAAATATTCCGGCTCCGATCGCTAGATAAAATCGAGTTCTTTTTCTTGGCATTTTATGGATGAAAGACGAAGACAAAGAAAAACAAAAAAAATTAAAACAACTGAGTGAACTGAACGAGTAAAGTGTGCCAATCGGTGTATCGTAGAAAATTGCTCATTATAATCCGACTTACCCTTTTTTCATAAAATCAAATGTCACGTTATCCCCCATCAACACAAACGGAGCCCATTGGGAAGGTTTGGAAAATCCATTGCTTCTCAACCATTGAACAGCCTGGTGAAGAGATTCACTAGCACTTTCTCCACGCACAAGGTGTTTATAAAATTGTTTCATGAGCTTCGCCGTTGCTTTGTCTTCTATAGCCCACGATGCTACCAACACTGAACGTGCACCAGATGCTAAGAATGCCCGAGCGATTCCAATAACTCCTTCTTTTTTAACCAATCCACGCCCACTGTGACAGCAGCTGAGTACTACCAGTTTAGCTCGCACTTGAACTCTTTCAATGTCGGATACTTTCAGGAGGTAGTCTTCCTCTTGTGGAGTACTGTTAGTAATACATTTAGGAGAGAGGGCAATCTCTCCTCTTTTGGCATTTCCATGTGCGGCAAGATGTATCAGACTCACTGAAGGTATTGCTTGAAGAACCGCCTGCTTTGTTGCGCGACTTCCCAATAAAGGCTGAACACCCAGTTGTTGACCAACTATCTCTGCTTCCTTACTTGCACAGAACAATGGTTTAATGTCAATGAGACGTCCATTGTATTGTACTTTGCCAACCGTAGGATCACCCACGATCAGTCCGCCAGTTTGACTGTGATAGTCTGCTGGACATTCTTGAATGAGCCGGAGAGTTGTCAGTGAAGGGACGATGCGTATTCTGTACTTCTCCGATAAATACTTTCCGGCTTGTTCATCACGCAAGGCAGCAAATGGGACTCGGTACAAAAAACTATCCGGTACAATGATGATTTCGGGCTCTGTGAGTAAATCTGCCACAGGTGCGACGATCCATTCGTAGCACAAATGATGGCTTCTTCCGGTATCTTTGGTTTCGTCACCACGCAAATTTGCTTGGCTCTCTTCGTGAAGAGATGTCGTCAAGTTGTCATCCAACGATCGGTCTTCGCAGTTCGCTGTGGGTAAAACACCAAAGCATTCGGCGCTCTTTTTGAAAACTCCTTCCACTTCGCAAACTCGCTCAGCAATAAGAGTGTCTATTTTCACTTCGTCTGTTTCTCGAAAGAAAATGTCTCCATTTGCTTTCAATACCCAGAGAAGAACTCGCCGATCTTCATACGAAATGTACAAAAAAACACAGTTACTCTCTCTTCTCGCGATGTTTTCAATCCCGAACCATGATCGTGGATCAGCTGAGATGTGGCTTACAGCGGAGTACTTGTCTGCCATGAATTCTGCGAGGACTCTTGCTCGTCCCAGCTCCTCAACATAGAGAGCATCTCGAAATTTTCCGGTAACGCAAAGGAGGCGAGTGAGTAACTTGAAGGGAAAAGTACCGCGTTCCTCTAACAGAGAAATTTCAAATCCACTGTTTCCTTTCTGAAGAGTTCTAATTTGTTCATATTTTTCAATACATTGGAGAAGATATTCTATTGCCTCCACAACCTCTAACTGCGATAACTTTAACATTGTAATACTGAGAAGGCTTTCAAACTCACCCGATTTTTGTCCAATTTCGCTGCATATGGAACAAGCTTTCTGTAAATAATATGCTGCCTTATCATATTCACCAAACGA